ACGCCTTTGATATTTTGATGTCTTCAGACCTTTATCTCCTTGTAGACTTTTTGATAAGTAAAAAAGCACACAGAGAAGTTCCTAGAAACTGGTCTGGGGAGCCCAGGGCTTTCTCCCTGCAGGGAGCTTCTGAGAATTCATGGTAGCATAGCAGCCCAGTTCTTGCCTTGGACTCGGTGAGGGAGCACATGCCAGTCACCCTCCCATAGGCAGACATTCCCTGCAGCTCAGCCTTGTGTCTAATTGATGCTCCCTGTTCTCAGTTCTGAGCTGGAACACTTGCTCCAGTAGCATGTTCTCTGCATGGAGAGGGGGCAACCAATCAAAGAGCTCCAGAGAGCATGACATTTGAATGTTCTGTACCCCCATCCCTGGTGACTCGCTGATCAAATCAACTCTGATTCACAAATAATACAAAGACGTTCTTTCTTTGCTCTATCCACTCTCCCTGCCCTCCCAGCTCCACTTCGCAATGCTTTCAAGAGCACCTCCCAGGAGTGTGATAACAGTCACGCTCTTGTCTGCCCCAGAGAATCCACAAAAGTATCTTAGGATGCAGAAAGGAAGAAAGAAGACGAACTCCAAGGAGGAACCCAACAGGAAGAACCTGGGAGGATGGGAAGGTGCTGAGGTAGGTGAAAAGGGCCAGGATAGTGCCCCCTGCAGGAAGCACTGCATGGCTTAGTGGCCAATCTCAAGTAATCCTGACACCATTCCTAAACAAGACTGATGTCATCATTTCCCACATGAGACAGCTAAAGCTGTTACTGCACATGACTTCTCAGTTGGTTCGTGGCAGATTTAGAATTCAAATCACATCTCTCTGATTTCTAAATTCATTCTCTTTCCTCTTAACCATGGGCCCTCAAGGCAAGAACAGCCTGAGGTCAAACAAGCAAGATCGCAGCTGCTCGCTGCTCAGTCCTGAAGGGTCTGTGTCCCAGCAAATCCATTTTGTAGAAACATCATTAATCTATTCCAGAAAACTGAGATGGTAATACTGATGTGAATTGCCCATCTCCACCATTCCCTGCAAGGTTTCAAGTCTGAATCCATTGTCATTGAGTACCATTCTCCTCCTCCTCTCCTCTCTTCTTCCAAGTCAACCATCCTTGGCTTCATGAAGTCATCTATAGAACTCCCTCCCCACTGCCCTCCAGGCTTCTATAGGTGCATTCACCCTGCATCTATTAATGGTCTATTACCCTTGACCATGTAAATGCTAAGGGTGCTGGAAAAGGACAGAAAAGTGCAGCAATGAACCCAGGAAAGTGGTTGTCTCTATGTGGGCAGCTATAGACCAAATATAGGCAGGTCATCTACATGGCAGTTCAGTTCAGGGGAGATGCCTGGTAGGACAGTTAAAGCATAGACCCTGGAGCCAGCTGCTGAATCTGAGTCTGAATTCTTCCACTTGCCTTCTTCAGTATATGAAACAAGATAGGGACTTCTTGGTGCTTCACTCTATAGAGTGGCACCAATCTGCCTGAGTCCCAGTAGGGAGATGAGGGGATACAATTTCAAAATAGCATTTGGAACATGTTGAGGGTCATGTGTGCATTAAATATTAGATATGCATATTTTAAAGCATCCATACACTGGTTTGGGTTTTATTTTCAATAATCCTATTATGATCCTTCTAAAATATTGGATCATACATTTCTGCCACAGAAGATACAGCATAAACCACTATTTTTCATTTAAAATGGGATATAGAAAATAGCATTCTAGCAAATCGATGCTCTGCATAGCTTGGGTTTTGTTAATTGTGTGTTTGTCTGTATGTACTTGTGTATGTGGCCACATGTACATGTGTGTGGCAGTCATAAGTCAACACTGATCACTGATCCTTCTTGATCATTTTCCACCTTATCATCTTCTGAGACAGAATCTCTCACTAAATCTGACCATCCTGCTTGGACAAAAAACTGCAGAGAGCCATCTATGTCCCCAACGCCAACCCTAGGGTTAAAGACTTATGCCACAACACACAGATTCTTCTCTTATGGGTTCTGGGAATCTGAACTCGGGTCCACATGCTTGCATGGTGGGTATTTTAACAACTAAATCATCTTGTTGACACCTTTGAGAATATCTCAAGCCCTTTCTGTTTACTTGTTTTAATGTGGGAGACATACAAGAAAGTAGAATGGCTGGGTTTTCAGAAAACATCAGCTGGAAAGTCTCCCAACAGAATGGGCATGCTGTCCATAATGTTGGAGGCATGCCTCAAGAGGTGGTGGACATACTGGGCAGGAAAACCAGACAGATTGCTTAGTGTCAGCCTCAGGTTGACTTCTGTCCATCTCTGCCCATCTTTGTGTCTTTCTTCTCTCTTTCAGAGTTTGTTTAGAGTTGAGAAAGCCTCAAGTTCTTGTCTGCTACAACTTTGAGGTGAAAGTACCAAGGTTGAGCAAGATGACAAGATTTCCCATGACTAGAAGCCTTTCCACTACTTAGACCACAAAGAATATCGCCTGTCTTATTTACCACTTTTAGTTCCAAATGCCTTTGACTTTTCGTTAAAAATTTTAATCATTTTTAGGAGATGAACATCAATCCCCACAGAGACTCTTAAGGATGGAAAACGGGCCATGAATACATTCACTTGTATTAACATGGAGTGTGGTGACTGGTTTTATCCCCTGGCAACATGGCCCACTTGGCAGGGGCTCCTTGACTTAAACTCACTTCACAAATTAGAAAATGCTGGCCAAGAATTCCTCCAACAAGTAGCAACCCAGAAACTTTACTCTTCTGGGAGTAAAGGAAAGTCTATTTCATATGGGCATTTGGTGGTCTGTAGCTAGAAACGAAGACGTGCATGCATACATACACACACATACAGAAGCAGCTTTGGCACAAAGTCAACCTCTAGCAGGTGCCATATCTGACTGAGTGCCAGGGCTTAGCATGCCTGGCACTGGACAGCTGAAACTGGACTCCTGGGTGGACATCTCAGTGATCAAGAGACCATGGTGGGACCCAGAGATGGCAGAAGGGGACCATTCTTTTTGGCATCAGGAGGATCTGCTGGAGACATCAGAGTCTGAGGGTCCCAGTAAAGCTTGTTTCCCAGAAGCATCAGCACAAATCAGAACCAGCTCAACAAGAACCACTCCTGGGTAACCTGTGCTGCTTCCTTTATAAAAGCGTGTCTCAGAGTGCCAGGAACTAAGACAACACTCCTGTGACTGGTCTCGACATAAGGTAGAGAGGTCAGGCGGTAAGGACAACCTCCAGGTCAGTGTGAGACCAGCAGTGCTGCTAGCATATGTTCAGAATGCTGAGCTCATGAACAGACCTCTTCAGACCCCAACCGCAGGCTCCTCAGACCTGCATCCTGGCCTGGTGGTCCCTACTGCATTGAAAGTGGGGCTGCAGAGGCAAGAGCCCACAGAAAGTTGATGTCTAGGCTCTCACTTTGAGCAAAACTGCCCATGCCAGATTCTCCCCTGGCACAGGGAGAAGCATTGAGATGTGGTTTCAGACTTGTCAAGATCTTGGCATGGAGAACATGAGTTGTGACAGCCTTTCAGGCAGATCCATGCCCTGGATCAAGAATGTCCAGGAGTCTATGGAAAAGGAAGCTTATGCCACACACTGACGGCTGAAGTAAGCACACAGAGATCACCGCATAGTCTGTTCTTTCTCCAAATAACCCTGAAGCAACTTAAAATCTCTGGGTGTCCCTCCCAGCCTGCTCGTGACTGTTCCTGTCTCTTTGCCCTTGTCTGTCCCCAGCCTCCATCACAACATCCAGACCCCAATATCTTTCAGGGGCTCCCTGGTTCCCCCACCAATGCTGTGAGCCCCCATCTCCCCAGAGCCTTCCAGAAAATCCCTTTTTAACTTATTTAGCCTTTGCTCTGTACAGGAAATGTGTATTCTCAAGTGGCCCTCATAGTAAGGTAGAGGCGGCTGGGAAGAGGACTGGCTGCTTCACTCCAGGCTGAAGCTGGAGGATAATATACCAGTGTCACCACTGTGAGCAGATGTTACTAAAACATGCGCAACAGAAACCAGAGCCATCTGAGCACACCCAGGACTGAGAAGCTGGAAAATGACATCCCATTACTAGGTGATAAGACAGGATCATAGGCAGCCCTGAGGTCACAGGCCAGTCTTCTTCCCCTCTCCAACCCACTCCCTGCAGAGAGAGAGAGAGAGAGAGAGAGAGAGAGAGAGAGAGAGAGAGAGAGAGATCAGGTTTTCTGTGGTTCTGGCAGGGAAGGAAATATACAAACACACACACACACACACACACACACACACACACACACACACACACCGCCCAATATACAGCCAGGGCCAGTGTAGCAAATAGAGGACAGAAAGGGATAGAGAGGAAAAAATGCTTGGTCCTTTGGACCCAAACCCACAAACACTAAGTCATCTTCCTTCTGTGGTGAGATTCTAGGGTTCAGGTCCCCCCACCTCCCCACCTTCCCAGTCATACACTTCAGGTAGACCAGGAGTCCCACACAGACAGCATTCCTTTATACATAAGAGAGAAAAAGCCACCCAGGTGCTTCAGATATCACAGCATAGCTGAAGCACCTCTCTCTCTCTCTCTCTCTCTCTCTCTCTCTCTCTCGCTCTCGCTCTCGCTCTCGCTCTTGCTCTCGCTCTCGCTCTCACTCATTCTAATTCTCCAACCCCACCTCTGCCTCCACTCTCTCCCAGTCTCCCAGCAACCGGTATCAATGTTGACTGGGAAGATGAGGCAGGAGGAGACAAGGAGGCCACACAGACTTATCACCGCCATGACCCGCAGACCTACCAAATGGAAAACCATCTCCTATGGGAGTTCCATTCATCACCTACACCAGGACACATGGATCAGACATGCCAGTGCACACACACATGCCAGTGCATACACATGTCCACACAAACTTCTCCCAGCCCAGTGGTACCCTCTAGGTAAGCACTCAACAGTGGCACTGGGCCAAGGGCAAAGCATGAACAGACATACAGGAGTGAGGCAGAAGGTAGCTCGCTTCCTAGTACATTTATTGGAGCTTGGTTAAGTGTGAATGCGATCGGGAGTCCCCGGCCACAGCCCCATCAGCCCAAATGGACCAGAGCTCAGGGGGCCCAGTACCTTCCTTCCCATCATAGACAACATTATTAAAAAAAATAAACTTTACAATAATACATTTTCGCTCATCTGTAGGGTATTATTTCCATAGTTTTGTTTCTTAAAAAAAGGAAAGAAAGAGGAAACCACAGGATATATGTATATGAATGTGTATATACACATATGTTGGGAAAGGAGGTCCATTATGTACAGACAATGGACGTATGTCTCAGAAATGAGGAAAGAGAAAGTGAAAACAGGGAGAAGAGAGGAGGGGCAAACTTGGGAGACTACTAGAGTGTTATGGGCACACATCCAGCTAGGGTCTCCTCTGCCCCATTCAACAGCCTTCCTCCCCAAGGGAGACCTGCCAAATGGACCCACAGATAAAAACAAAAATCCAACAGAGGATCATTTCTCTTTGACTTCAAAATTCCTGGCATTAAGGAGGAAGGTGCATCTTGGAACTGGTGCCCAACCACGACTCGCTCCCTCCCCACAGGAGCTTCCTCCTGGAGCGGCCCCTAGCTCCTCCATGCTGCAGTAACCAAGGCCTAGAGAAGCCTTAGGATTCCCATGCCAGATTCAGACCCACTCAGAAGCCTGAAGACAGAAAGTGGGACCCACCCATCTCCATGTTTGAAGCCAAGAGGTGGGACTGAAAAGGTCTAGCTGGACCCCTGTGGCCAGCACTGCTTCCCTGCTGACTGATCCCCCAGAGAAGGTCCCCAGGGTGGGCAGCTCAAGAGACGGCTGCAATTGTCCTGTCCCCAGTCCACACCAGGCTCCGCACAGTCCCTTCCACAGCAGGGATCTCATCTTGGTCTTTTTTGATTCAGAAGGGTTCAGAGAGAAAAACACCAGTAAAGAGAAAAGAATGTTTCCAGAGCCTTGTGCCCTCCTTGGTGCTGAGTGTGCCCTCCTTGGGCTGGCTTCGGGCTGCCCGCCTGGTTGTCTGTTTGGTTTAGAAAAACTTCTCCAGAGAAGAAACCTGGGAGGAGACAGGTTCAAAGACAAGGTGGGAAAATTTTTTCTTTTTTTTTGCAAGGGGAATGTGTGTGTGTCTGGGTGTGTGTCCATTCTGTCAGGCGGGAGTTCTCATCTGTGTTGCTTGAAGAAATCTTGTGCTGGGTTCCAAGGGCCTACAAAGCCAAGGTCAGCATCAGGAGGGGGAGCGCCGTCAAGGCAGCCGACAGTCTGGCTCTGCTGGGGCCTGAGTTAAGTTTGATCACCTTTTTGCTCCCTGGGCTGATATTTGTCGTGAGCTGAGTCCATGGTGAAAGGAGACAGACACAAAAAGAACAACAAAAAACCCATCAATATGGCTATGGTCAGACAACAACAAAAAGAGTTCCTATAGGAACCTATCTGCTTCAATCTTGACTCTCTAGCCACAAGAGACCCTCCCTTGCATTCTGAGGGCAGAGCTGGGTCTCTAAGGAACTGAGCATGGAAGGAGCAAAGAGTGTGCTCCATCTCATCAAAGCCTCAAACACATGGACTGCTGGTCCCCACATAGGAGCTGAGGGTGTGTATCCCAATGAGGCACAGGAAGACAGACATGGTGGCTCAAGCCTGTAATCCCAACACTCACTCGGGAGAAGTAGGAGATCATAAGTTCAAGTCCAGCCTTGGGTACAAAATAAGTTCAAACCCAGCTTGAACTACAAGATGAAACCCTATCTCAAAGCAAGCAAATAAAAAAGACTCCAAAGAGACAGTGCTCCAGGGTCTACAAGGGCCTGATTCTTGACAGGGAAGGGGAAGAGAATATGTAGTATTCCCCCTTCTCTTACTTTGCTGGGATGCCTCCTCCTCCATGAAGCCCTCCCTACACATGAGACTAAGTTTCTCCTAATCCTTCTGGAAACTCTTACACCACCTTTTCTTCTAACGTAAGATATCGCCTTGGGTCTATAAGTCACTCGTACACTTCTGGGCAAGAGGCTATGTCTTTCTCTACTTCTGCACCTTGCAAATATCACAGAACTAGACCCAAGCAGGCACCCAACACATTTGTCTTAGAGGAAATTGTGAGAGGGCCCCTCCCTGCTCACAGCAGCTACTTGCCACCCACAAGGAGATACCCACAGGCTCTGGCTGTAGCGTTTGCACTACCCCATGCCCATCCCAGCAGAGTGAGTTCCCACTCAGGTCCAGGTAGGGTCAGAAGTTCAGCTAAACCAGAGGCTCTGAGTTCAAGGCTTACTTAGGGAACAACGCCCTCTGGGCCAACCTCCCACACCCATCCCCCATTCTGTTCCTACTTACCTCTGTGAAGCACATGCTTAACTCTTTGGAGTTGTTGGCCTTCAGCCCTTGCTCCTGGGGAAAGAACGCATGAACAAAACCAAGTTAGCAGGCTGCTTTAGTTAAGGCTGTGTCAACTGGTGTCATCTACTGCTGACACCATTAAGCACAGGGTACATAATAATACTACACTGGCTGGGTCCCTTGCAACACAAAGCACCTTGCCCTCCACCCCCTAAAACCTCAGCAATTCCATCCTGGCCCCTGTGGGCTCCTGAAGAACAGAGCTCTCATCTCTGATCTCCAGTTTGCAGCATTCTATAGTCACCAGCCATCCACACCTCTGTCTACCACTCCCCAAAGGCAGGGAGTGGGCCTTCTTTGCACTGAGCAGTGTTTGGCTCATAACAGCAACTCAACTAATGTTTTACTAGGTACATGCAGGCACGAAGGAATAAATGAATAAATGCCATGGACCAAAATAGCTGCTGGGTGCCAGCTCATTATTTGCCATCAGTACTGGAGAGCTATGTAAGAAAAGATTATGAGCCCTCATCTGAGTTCAGAAGAGAGGAGAGCTGTGATTGATTAGTGATGTCTATCACTGGTGCATGTTAGGTAACTGGCAACTGTGCTTGTCCCATTTCCACCCCAAACAGATGTGTGCACCTGGGAACTCGGTAGTTGAGGTGAGGGATGAGAAAGGAAAACTGACTTGGTGGCGCTCCAGAATTCTCTACCTTGGCAAAACTATTTGGCGACAGGACCAAAGGCTCTTCACAAACAACAGTTCTGTCACCACCATTATGACAGAGACCCATGGGAACCAGCTGGAGACATGGGGCTTCTATCCTGACTTCAAATGGCTTGATTCCAGGGTAATTGTGGGAATACTCTGGCCACCAGAAGTAACTAGGAAGCCCAAGAAATTATACGGAAGTCATTGTTCATGGCCAGAATTATCAATAATCCCTTGGACACCATAGGCGATTGACCACCCTGGGCATCTGGTCAGCTGAACAAGGCCCCAGCTGTCACACAGAGACGTGGGCCGAGAGTAGAGGCACTGCCAGTAATAGAGACAGGAGTGTGATGATCTGGACAGCAGGAATGGAAGCCACCAGACCCAAGAGGTTCCTGCTCAAGACCACAAGAACCAGTGTCCCAGGTGGCAAGAGCTGACTGCCTCTGATATGCAAGGAAATCCCTCTCTTCCCTGAACCTTACTGTATAAGTTTTAGTGAGCCAACTGGTCCCTCTCAGAGTCATCGAAGTGGGCCTCCTGTCCATCCCACTGGTATGAGGACCAGGTTACTGGTAGATTAAGTTTGTCAGCCTCAATACCCAATGATATGCAGTTAGAATTTCCATTGAATAAAGGAAAGCATGTGCTAACATGCCTTCCAGTCCCATGCTCTAATATCCATAGGCCTGTGAACTGGGAAAAATACCCATCTAGGCAGAGGACAGGATGAGGAAAGACAGAGAAGTGTTGCTGACTGTAAGATCTGCCTCAGGCATCAATCAGGTGAGGGCCTGACAGAAACCCTTCCAAGCTTCTTTTCAATTGTCCCAAGATCTGATGTCCAATGTCAAGTACAAAAGCCAGAATGAGCCAGCAGAGACAGGAAGAGCTCCCCAGCTGTAGGAAAGGAGGAGCCAGGTTGATGGAATGAGCCCTGCAGACCAGCATTCTACATTCAGAACAACCCAGAGGGAACATCAGATATGGTGGAAACAGGCCATGGCCAGGCCAAGCTCTAACCCACCTCCAGTCTTCCATGGTCACCACCACACTTCCTACATCCAGGTCTCATCATCACAAGATCAAAGAGCGTCCTGGCCAATCTTCCTACATCCTCAGCTTTTAAAAAACTCTCTGCCTGTGCCCCCTCTGCATATTACATACCCAGCCGACATCCCAAGGAACAGGAGCTCTGGACACAGAACAGCCAAGAACCACCCCCAGACTTCTTTGGAAATCAAGCTCCAACAAACCAAACTGTGGACTCTCTCTTTCACTTCTTTCCTATCACTCATGTCAAGCCCTGGGCACTGCAGGGTGACAAGGAAGGAGAAGATGCCACCCATGCCTCCAGGGATACTGGCCCAGTAGGGGAGAGAGAGGATACCACAATGGGGGCTTAGGTAAGGCAATGTGGGAGCTCCAAATAGGCTAATAACAACCTGAGTGGACAGAATCATGGTGACAATCCTGAAAGGAGTCATGTGAGGAGGCAGCTTCCCCAGGTAGAAAGGGTGAACCAGGGAAGGAGAGGCATCTCACTCATAGGAGCTGATAGATGCCAAATCTAGAGTTTTGCTTGCCCAGCCATGGGCCTATTGTGTGGGGTAGCCCCTGCCTCGGACTTCATAAACAAAGGCATTGAATGTCCAGGACTGGCTTCCCTCCCATCTAGAGTCCAACTGGGTAGAGGGAAGAACAAGGACATTCACACAAAGTTCAGATACAGACAGGTCCTAAGGCCAAAGAGACTATCGCAGACCCTCCCAGGAGCTCTCTAAGGTCTAGGGGGCTCAAAACAAGTGAGGTCATGAGGCAGCAGGGGCGAGCAAAGACACTGGACAGAGGAGCACATCTGACTCCTCTATGGTACGTAACACTCCTGCATACCTGTCTAGCAATTCCACATCAAGAGTGAGAGTTCCTCACTGCTTGTGCAAAGCAGACTGGAAAAGGAAGAAGCATAAAACATCTACGGGCCCAGATGTTAGCTCCGCTCAGCCACCAACTGATCATGGGGCCGCAAACAAGTCACTACCCACCCTGAACCCTTTCAGTTTGGGACAGGGATGTTGAAGGATTCTTCTAATTTTAACATCCAGACACCCATGTGGACTTCCATCAGGTTACTATCTCTGGAGCCCCTTGTACTTCCCCAAAAAAGGCAGGACAAATAAGGAAAAAAAGTAAGGAAAATAATCTTGCCTCCTACAAGCCATATCTGGAATGCATCAGCTCCCCCAACCTTGGCCTCAGCTTCCTACCCTGTCCTCACTCAGCCAGTTTTTCTATAGCTATGGGTTCCCATAACTCCCAAGAGCTCAAGCAGAGCCACTATAGAGCAATTCAATCGGAGATACTGCAACCTGCCAGAGCTGACAGACAGCAGAGTGGTACAAGATGGGAAGAAGTAGAACCCAGATGCCACCAATGAGTACATCCGGTCACTGACAGCTCCAGCCTGAAACATCTCCTGTGCTCATCACCTTCACCTTGCCATTTCTCCCCTCTGCTCACCCTGGCGTTTTCTTCCAAATTCTTTGTTCTGATGTTTGTGTGCATATGTGTGAGTGAGCATGCATCTGGCCTGTCTAAAATCAGCCTTTTCATCAGAGAAGCTATAGAGTGAATAACATGATGGTATGAGCTCCCTGCTGTGTCACCACAGTGCCACCTGTCCCCTGTCATGGCACTGATTACAGTTCACATCTGATGCTTACTCATTGTTTGACCCATACGAGCTACAAAACTTAGGGTCATTCAGCTTCATTCACCAGTGTCTCCCTGGCATCTCACATAAGACCTGGTGCACACCGGGGTCTGTAACTCACATTGGATGGGGATGGATGGATGGATGGATGGATGGATGGATGGATGGATGGATGGATGGGTTGGTTGACAGATAGCCAGAAAGATAAGCCAATGAACAGCATGAGTTTCAAATTCAGATATAGGTTTGAAACCTCATATCACCACCAGTTAGCTACATGAGTATGTCACTTAAGCTCTCTAGATCAGTTCCCTGCATGTTAAACAAGAATATCATCACCCCGTTATGATGAGAATCAGCAGCACACTAGTTGATATATGGTAAATAGTGCATTCTTCTTGTGCCCTAGCATGTCTAGTACAACACTTTAGGGAACAGGTGTCTTATACCTGTAAGGAGAATACCTAAATGAACAGGTGAAAATGCATTCCTCAATTCCCAGACTCTTGGTTCCTAAGCTCAAGGAACCTTCAGTGTTCCTTCTGTGGCCCCAGTTGAGTGGTTTCCCATACCCTGTCTGACCCCAGGGTGCAACCTCAGACCTTCAGCAGGCTCTAGTTCCCTCAGTGTAGAGGCACACCCCTTACCTGGATGGATGTGCAGGTGGTAATGACACTGGTTCCCAGGCTGGTGCTATCACTGAGGTCATCTGGCAGTGAAGGAGTCTTCTCCACCCGAGGGGCCTGGGTAGCTGGGATTGAGGGCCCCTTAGGGGACACATTCACATCTGTCCCATTGCCAAAGGCCTGAATGGCATTCCCTGGGGAAAGAAGGACAGGTAGATGCAGAGAAATCAGAACCCACCTCCATCACTTCTGCTCCAGCTCCCCAGCCCCAACAACCACCTTCCCAGAACACCCTAGACACTAGAGACAAAGGGTAGCAGATCTGAATTTGACTTTGCTGAAGACCCTTTCAGACCTACAAAGATCTCCCCAAAAAGACAGAAAAACCAAAATGGAAAGAGACATACATGGTGAGAACTGTTGCAAGGGAAAGGAGGAAAAGAAGGAAGAGGGAGGCATGGAAGTTTAGAGAGCTGGTCTTGTGAAGAGGACAGGAACATCTTCTTGGTGGTCAGCACCGCAGACTTCTCTTGCAGAAAACCCCATCCTCAGCTCCCTGGGCACAGGCTCTCCCACCTCCTCTTCTACCTCTGGTTCCCACTCCAGACTCAGCCCTCCTCCCTCTCCACATCATTGACTTTCCCTGGACAGCCTCCCTTCTCTATACTGGCAACTAGCGCAAATCCACTGGGGACTAACTAATAAGACCTCATCATTTAGGGATAAATCCATCCCTAAAACTCAATAAATGTCTACAGAAATCTTTACCCTCCTCACCCCAAATGTACTTCAAGGTTACTAGTCTCATTGTGTACTAGGCATCTCTTCCCACGCCAACAATGCTTCTCTACCCTCGACGATCAATCTTATGGGTGTCTTCTCTATCTAAGTCCTCTAAAACAGAAACTTGGAGGTCAGTAACCCATAGTGCCTCCCCACCCACCCACTGACAGTCATCTGAGCCCACCTCCTGGCCATCAATTGATTCTACCTCTGGTCACTATCATCTAATCCATGGTACCTCCCTACCCATCCACTGGCAGTCAGCTGAATCCTCCTCCTGACTACCAATTGATTCCACCTCTGATCACTATCCTCTAATATTCACCATCCTCTTCCATAGGCATCTACTTCTTATGGACTCTCAGTATTAGGTTGCCCATAAGAATCATAGCCCTAACTCCGATGTACCACATGCCATGACCAGGTTGGATGAGATCCTCACACCAACTGCTACCTAGCATCCTTTAACCATCATGCCCCACCACGACTTTCAGGACGATAAAACACAAATGCCTTCAGATCTGTAAGAGGAAGATGCTATCTATCTACCTGTCCAAACACCTGCCATTCTGGTCACCTTCAATGTTGTATGACAAGGCTACCTGCTCTGCAGTTCCCTCAATAATCCATGCTCTTCTAGAGAATGCTGGAACTCTGTCAGGGTAAACCATCAGATGCTGATGGTCTACCTCTTCAACTAATGAGTACCCAACAAGTCTCAAGAGATACAGCCTCTAAGAAGCCTTTGTTCCTCCCTCCTCCTGGATGACTTGGGTATCTGCACCCTGGATTCTGGATAACAGCATACAGAACTGGATCCTAGGACTTCCATCTGTGCTGAAATCACAGGTGACCCCCCTCAGTTCACCTCCCTTCAGCTACACATTCTTTCATGATAGGCACTAGAATCTATCTCCAAATCCCTAGTACCAGACAAAAATAAAAGAAAAACCTGGATAGAGAAATGGACAGAAGGAAGAAAAAAAGAGAAGGAAACAGAGAAGAGACATGCAGGTGGCATAGTCAGCAAGAGGTGACCGGCTGCAAAGACCAAAGACAGGTTGAACTTGACTGTGGTCTCTTCTCTCTTCAGCCTTTGGACTGGGAGTTAGATGAATGGAATGACTTCAAAAGAAAGTCACCAATTCCAAGAGGAAAGACTCATTACAGGGAGAGATAACAGGGGCTTGTGATCCCCATGAGAGGACTCGGTTTCCAGAGGAACCTGACTGATGCTGTCAGGACAGCAGACTAAAATACTTCTGTCTTGACTTTCCATAGGCTCAAGGTCTCTGGTGGTAAACTAAGACTGGCCCACTGACAGTTCTGGTGTAAATTTCCAAGTGCCCAAAACACAGGGTCACTGTAGGCAGCTCCATATGATGCAAACACCCCACATATATCATTGGTCATCCCAACAACAGGGGAAGGGAATGGCCAGAGCAGGCTCCAACCCCGCTCTGAGGTAGCAGAAGCTTGTGCAGGGTTGGGAACAGAAGGTGAATGGGGGATGGGAAAGCTTTCCCAGACTCACGGAGGCACGGGTTCTCCGTGAAGTCCCTGAGGAACTTCTCACACTCCTCTTCCATGTTCCCACTACCACGACAACTGCACCAAGGAGACACCACGATGCCAGTGGGGTTGGAGTCCACATAGTTGGGTGTCATATCAAACCCTGAGCAAGGAGAAAGGGGGGGAAAGGAAGGAGAGAGCATAAGCCTTTCCTTTGGGGCACCCAGCCCCCAAGCACAGTAGACCAGAGGCTTATGATTCCCCTCCCACCTGTCCCCCAAACATATAAAAAGCCCAACTTTCAATCCTAATTCTGAGCACTATTATCTCACTGGCCATGCTCTCCATGGGGTCAGCATGGTCAGAAGGGCCAGAGATATAGAGGACACCAGTCTCTACATCACTAGGAAGGAAAAGAAGACCCCAGCAACACTGACCCAACCATCAAGTCCTTGCTTTCTTCCTTAGTGATATGCAAAATGATTCTTCTAGAATTAAGGAGACAAAAACTCCCATCCTGGGTTGGATCCCAGTGATAGCATTGAGCAGCTAAGTGAACCTGGTCAAGGTATTCACTTTCTCTAAGCCTCAGTTTCCTTATTTATAAAATAGAAATACCAACAACTCCATAATGAGAGCTGCTGAGGGAATCCGACACAACAGTTCATATCAACTGCTTGGCAGTTGTACCTAAAAGGCTACAGCTTATTTCCAAAGTCTTAGAGCAAGAGCAGGGGCCCCTTCTCCATGAGGAGCTAGCCTTCTTCTGCTTTCTCCTAAATACTGTCTGAATTTTCCCCAAGGAAAATTGTACTCTGTCAAACTCTTGGGAGGGTCCTGTACTGGGCTGCAACAGCTCCCACCCCAGTGAGGTGGGGAGGCCACCGAGGGCCCAGGCAATGCAAAGTAGAGCTTACCAATCATGCCTGCATAGGAGCCCAGACAGGCCTGGTAGTTATCTGCTGGGCAGCTGGTGAGTGTCCGGTAGGAGGCTCGACAGTTGGCGTGGAAGTCTGCCAGCCGGGACCTGGTGTCGGGAAAAGACCCAAGGAGGAAACAGATTAGTCTGGCAGCCTGCTCTCCTCCTCCACAGTGCCTGGGGCATAGCAGCTCCACACTGCTGTTCCTAGGTCCTGAAGAAGCCAAGAAAGGGACCAGGAAGTAGAAAGTAAAGGAAACCTACAGAGTCGAGTACATAGCTCAGTTTAAGAAAAGTCCAAGCCAGGCGCCTATAATCCCAGCATTCAAGAGGCTAAGGCAGGAGCATTATCACAAGTTCAAGGCCAGCTTAAGCTGAATTCCAGGTCAGCCAGGGGTGTAGTGTAAGATCCTGGTTTCAAAAAGAAGCAAAGCAAAAGTTCAGACAAAAATGACCCCAGAAAAGTGTTCATCCCCTGAGGATGAAACCTCACTGTCAGTTCACTTCCTTAGAGACATGATCTACCAGCAGAGCTGAGGGTCCGAGCTAGACCTGCAGACACTGGGCACCTCCTAGAGAGAGTTCCAATCAACACCAGCATCCAGGGGAGCCTTGCTTCTCTCTAACAAGTTCAACTCCAAGGTCAACTGACACTGAGAACCTTGAAGATCTTGACATGGAGCCTCTAAAATTTCACCAACTCCACAGGTTAAAGAGAGAAAACATAGATGGGAGAGCATGGGAACAGCCCTTCTGGGAATCTAAGGTATTTCTCTGGCAGGCCACAGAGCAGCCAGGCACAGGCAGGAAAAGTCAGAATAAGGAAGCCAGTCAAGGAACAGAAGGTGGAAGAGTGCAGACTCCAGGGGGTCCCAGCTAGACAGGCCATTCCAGCTGCTAGGAGAGTCATCTATCCTATGGCTGTGCTCAGTCCCTGCTCCATTATGTGACCTAGCACTCACTGGACATGGCTCTGGTACTTAGTGTCTCCAGTTAACAAATAGAAAGCCGTGGCTGCCTGTCTCCCCCTCACCACAGAGTATCAATAAAGAGAGATTGTGATGAAAGCATGGACAGTAGCCACCAAGTTAGACAGGAATTGTCATCTTTGTCACCTTCTCTACACAAATGTCTGGTTCCCAGCACTGCACTCATGACTGGCAAGTGCAAACAGGAAGCAACTTTTCCCAGCCCACAGAGAAGGAAAAGCACAGTTTACTCTGTGCGAAGGTGGGTCCATGTGGTCACTGTGAGCATGTCAAGGGGCAGCTTGCTGGACCCCAGGAAGACTCTGGCCTCTTGACCGCACCATCCCTTTCTATGGCATACTGAAACACAGAGAGAGAATCACAGGCCCTGGAAGCCCAGCCATGTGTACAGGGCGCCTTGACCATGGCCCCAAGGTCGGGGGGGTGGGGGGATGGGACACAATCCCTCTCCCTTGGTAGCTCTGGCCTACTTCCTTCACAGAAGTCTGGTGGTTGGTGCCAGGGCCTCAGAGATGAAACTGTTCAGAGCATAAAGAAGGGGAGGATGTGGGTTTGGACCAGCAGTTGGCGAGGGGAGGCAAAGGCTAAGCCTTCTGTTGCCCACTTCACCACTTTCAACATCAAGGTGGCCTTGGGAAGCAAAAATGACAAATGGGGCCAATTGACAAGGTTGCCATGTCCAAGTCTCCAGGAGATCTTTGATTGCTCAAATTTCTCTCTGCCTCTCAATCCATGATAAATCCACAGTAGTGAGCTCTGTCTACCAGCATATGAGACCAAGTAGTATCAATTTCCTTCAAGTCCTTGACCCACTGTAATTCCAAACACAAGGAAACCCGACCGCATGAGTGCTCCAGCTAAGCCCTAGTAGGCAAATGTTACCCTCTCATAATACATGGCATGCCAGCTGGTGATGTCTGCCTCATCTAGGCCAAATGTCATTCCTCTCCACATCCTGGGATGTCACCCATCTCTTGAATTCTGTTCCTGCTGCCAAGAGCAGACCTTTCCTCGATCAGCTCCATCATGTCACAGATTCTTGCCTTTAAGGGGCTCCAAAAAAGAGACAGCACAAAGAAAGCATAAGACAGAAGGACAGACAGACAGACAGAGAGAAAAGAGGAGAGAGCCAGTAAGAGAAGCAAAATGCACACAAGCCAAGTCCTTCTTAACTGAGTTGGAGAGAAGACCACCAACTGAGCTCAAGGGAGCAGGTGGATTGCCCCAAAATCACAAACCCTCTTCATCAACAGCTGTGGTCTGTTCAATCACAGGAAAACAGCAGGAGAGAGACACTTGACCCTAATTTGATGAAAAGGTTGCCATATTAAATGCAATATGTCCAGTCCATTTGAATTTCAGATAAGTAGTATTTTTTAGTATATGTCTCAGACATACTAAAAAAAAACTTTTCTGAATCTGGAATTCAAATTTTACTAGGAATTCTATATTTTTATTGTTAGCACAGGTGCCCCCAGCAAAAGGAGAAAGAATGGAGCTGGGTATGTAGAAACCAACCCACACTACAGCAGTCACCCAGATTTGGGGGAAGAGGGGCTTCTCAAAGTGATTCTCCAAGAACAGTCCACAGACTCACAAGACTGTCAATGGCTAAGAACTTCTTAGATATGCAAATATTCTGGTTCCACTTCAAATACAACATACCTGAGATTCTAGCAGCAGCCAGGCCAGGAATCTCTCTACCAGGCCTCCAGATAATAGGGATTCTGGCAGGACCCAGTCTGAGGGGTGGCATTCTGCACAAGTTGCAGAGCTGGACTTGCGGGTACCTTTAAATTCCCACCTTCTGGCTTAAGCTTTAAATATCCCCATTTTATGCTACAGCCAGGAAAGAAAGAAAGCCTTCAAGCCACAGCTCTAGAAGGCTTGTGGTTGTATGCTGTATGCACACACACACACACACACACACACACACACACACACACACAATCCTGTATTTAAAGACACACATTTGCACTTGGATATAATCATCTACGTGCTATGTGTAGTCTTATCCAAAAGAAGGCATACAGGCACTTGTTTATGGGTGAAACCCCTTGCTCCCCTGAGATGCACGTCTACCATTTCTACATATTTCATAAGTCAATCTCTTTTATTTTTCTTAACCTAGTTGGGTCTCTGTTAGTTAAAATCTAAAAATTATTGATGACTACTACTTAGCCTCACTCTTTGATATTATAATGCTTTCTCTAGCCAAGTTTGAAGCAACAAAAAGCACACTATGAAAAGGTCACATGGAAGACTGACCATCTGGCTCAGTCAGTAAAGTGCTTGCCTCATAAACATGAGGACCTACACTCAATTCCCAGGACCCACATAAAAAGCCAGGCATGGCAACATGTGCTTGTAATGCCAGAGCTGGGGAGACAGAGGCAGGAGGATCTCTGGAGCTCATTGGACAGTGACAGTTAAGCTTACTAGGTGAACTCCAGGCCATTGAGAGACCCTGTCTGTCTCAAAGGAGGTGGACAGTGTTTCTGAGGATGATACCTAAGGTCATCCTCTGGCTTCCCCATCCACACATACACACAAACACAGAGAGAGAGGGAAGGAGAGAAAAAGAGATTAAAAACCTGGGAACCCACTCCAGCCAAACCACACATATAGCCCAAGCTGGTACAGATGGGTCAGGTAGCACCTCCATCCTAACCATCTGCAACCCCTCCCCTATTTCTGAAGCACCCTCCAGCCAAATCACCACATGCAGCCCAGCTAGGAGCCGATTAGGAAAGGCAGCCCACAATGCCAACTGCCTGAGACACCTCCCCTGCCCTAGGAGCCTCTTCCAGCAAAACCATCTCTTGAACTCCAGCCCAGCACAAACCCAGACAAGAAACCCCTTTACCCCCAACTATTTGTAGCCTCTTTCTCCCTGCTGGGAGTCCCCACCAACTGAATCTACACACACGCGCGCACACGCGCACACACACACACACACACACACACACACACACACACACACACCTAGACAGGAAGTCCCCCTGCCCCAACTTCCTGTTATCTTTCCCTTGTCCTAGAAGCCCTCTCCAGTCAACCAACTACAAACAACCCAGCCTGGAACAGACCAGAAAGGTTTTCCCTTCACCCTGAGTCACCTCTGTTCCCTCTGGTCTCCTCTAAGCTGCCCAATCTATTGCCCACCTCCAGGCTCTAGCTTGGTATACAGAAAACACACAGCAGAAGACACATTCAACAACCTAACTCAGATGCCTGGTCTCATCAGAGAAACACAAGCAATATAAAAAACAAAGAAAAAAATGTTCAAAAAAACCAGTTCCATAATAAACATGTTCATAGAGATCAGAGATTTTAAAGAAGTACAAACAAATACGTGAATGAACTGAAAGAGGACAGGAATAAACTTGCAGCCCAAGAAAATGCAAACAGATATCTGAATGAAATAAGGAAGATCATTCAGGATATAAAAATAGAATTCAGTAAAGGGAAATACTGAAGAAAACTCAAACTGAAATGAGAAATTCAATTAGTCCAATAAAAAGCTTGGTGGAAAGCTTCGCCAACAATACAAAGACAAAGTAGAGGAAATGGACCAGTCAATCAAAGAAAATGATAAAAAAAATTTAATTCACAAATAGACCAAGGGTCTATGGAATGACATGAAAAGAACAAATCTATGAACTATAGGCATAGAAGGAGGAGAAGAATTCCAGGTCAAAGGTATAGAAATTATTTTTAATAAAATCATAAAAGAAAATTTCTCAAATCTTGAAAAAAAGATGGCATATAAGTATAAGAAGCCTACCGAATCAGAACCAGACACAACCAGAAAAGAACATGTCCCCATGATATATTATAGTTAAAACACTAAAAACACAGAATAAAGGATATTGAAAGCCGAAGGAGAGAAGAACCAAGTCACATTTAAAGGTAGGCTGCTGAGAACAGCAGCAGAAACAATCACAGAAACTTTTAAAGCCAGAACAGTTTGGGAAGATGTAACCTAAGCTCTAAAAGATCAGAACTGCCAATTCAGAATATTACATCCAGCAAAGCAATCTTTTATAAGTAAAGAAGTCTCACGCAAATTCAAACCAGACAAAAACCCAGCATAGAACTAGAGAAATGGGTAAAAATCCC